CCCTTTTGTCCATACAAACCAGAAAGGCCCATCCGGGGGACACAAGCTGGGTGCCTCCAACTGGCCTCGTCCCTCGAGACAGCCACGGCTTGTGATCTATGCCTGTGTTATCCAGGCTTAACATGCACCCCCCCAAATACAGATTTGGGGGGGCGCCCCTCCTGCATCAAGCCAGAGACCCCAGAGAGGGCTTGAGTTCCAGTCCAACCTCCCCCCATTTATCTCCCCCTTCCTTTCTGAGCTGTAACAGCCCCTTCCTAACCTGGCCCCTCCAGCCCCCGTCGTTCCCCAGAGAGGTCCGTGCCCGCAAGGAGGGTCCTGGCATCCCTCCAACCTTCCAAAGAGCCCTTCGAGGTAGGCTCAGAGAGCATGCTGGGGACTAAGGGGACCCTCGACAAAAGGGAGGCTCCCGGTCACCAGAGCAGGCCCTGCCACCCAGCCCGGCACCCGCCAGATGCCAACTTACCAGGGCACCGGCTGGTTCTTGACCAGCAGGCCCTGCAGGAAGTCCCACTCCACGCTGAAGCACTTGACCCCCTCGCTGCCGTAGAGGGAGGCCATCGCGCCCAGGGGGGACCATCCGCCCGGCACCGGACACCCAAGGCCCGCCGGTCACTCAGAAGGTCCTCCGGTCCCCAATGCCCTTTACGGACACGGCCTTCTGAAAGACAAATTGGGGGGGGGGGGGACAGAAATCCCTGTCAGGTCTCTCTCTCTTCACCACACAGGCAGTCCTCGGCTTACAACAGTTCCTTTAGTGACCGTTTAAAGTTACGACGGCACTGAAAAAAGGACTGTTTTCCAGCGTTACAATCTTTACGGCATCCCAGGGCCACAGCAGCTCTCCAGCTTGAGCAGCCCCCTACTCTAGAGCAGCGTAGCTTGGCAACTCTTGAGATGGGTGGACTTCAACTCCCAGAATCCCCCAGCCAGCATGCAGGGGTTTTGAGCTCCTGATCGAAGCCCTCAAGTTTCTAGTCCTTATGCTTGCAGCCTCCAATTGCGTTTCCAAGGCTGAATGGTTCTATGAAACAAACCGTTTGCTCAAAGCCGAGAATGGGGAAGGGGGGGGGGAGAGAGCCAGGCGTTTAGAAGATGTTTTTGTCTTGCTGCATTAATTATTACCCTTTGTGTGTGTGGGGGGGCACAAAAGAAAATATTTTCTGATCACAGTCGGGGGCATTCTTAAATTGCTTAATTACCCGTTTCCTTGCCTTGCTTCTCCCAATTATCTCAAAAAGACCCTGGAGTCAAGATTTTAGAACGAGGAACAGGTGGAAACAAATCGGCAATCAATTAAAAGGACCATGACGGCTTAATCAGCTTTCTTTTAAAAATAATAATAACAATACACCCCCTGAATTTCTCCCCATCAGAGAGCTGGAGAGGAACAGTCCCTTTTGCCTCTCACCGGCGGCGGCAAACCAAGGAGTCGGTTCCTGTTGCACCTGCGTCTTTCGGGAAAAACGGCACGGAGGGATCCGCATCTTGCTTTTCGAGTGTTTCGCACTCAAGACCAACCCTGGCCCTCTTTGCCATTTGTCCGAAATGGCATAGGGTCTCTTGCTCGAGCAGGGGGTTGGACTAGAAGACCTCTGAGGTCCCTTCCAACTCTGTTATTCTGCTATTTTTTTCCTTCCTTCCTTCCTTCCTTCCTTCCTTCCTTCCTTCCTTCCTTCCTTCCTTCTTCCTTCCTTCCTTCCTTCCTTCCTTCCTTCCGAAGTCTGGAATACCAATTCACTGTTCGTGCCAGGCTTTGCTGGACAAATCCAGGGAGTAATCCAGAAACCTTCCCTTCAACTAGCAAACTTCAATTGTTGCCGTGAAATTCACAAACAGAGTTTGTAGCCTGCCGAGATGCGAGGGTAGCAAGGAAGCCAATTTTCCCAAAGGGACATGTTTTGAGCTCCTGATCAAAGCCCTCAAGTTTCTAGTCCTTATGCTTGTAGCCTCCAAATTAACCCTCCGTCAAGGGTTAAGTGCACTAAAGTGAGCTAGGAAGGCCCCACTTCTCTCCCCCTTCCTAGATACAGAATAACAGTGTTGGAAGGGCCCTTAGAGGTCTTCTAGTCCAACCCCCTGCTCAGGCAGGAAGCCCTATACCCATTTCAGACAAACGGTTGCCCAATCACTCCTTAAAAACCCGGAGGCAAGTTCTTCTCCCTGTGAAAACCAGGGATCCCAACGGAAGGAACTAGCCTGGGTCTGACCAACCGAGTTGCTCTTCTGAAGTTCTTAATGTGCCCCAAAGGTGAGATCAACAGATCCAGAATCAACGTGTTGTAGACGGCCAAACCCTGAATTGGCAGCCTCCATCTGGGTAGCCGTTTGCTTTCCGAAACAGAAGGATGGCACAGAACCATCAGATTGGGCCATCAGATGCTTACCCCCTTCCCCAGCGAGTGGCAAGGGGGTGGGTGGGCTTCCTTTGCCCCCTGTTGGCACCAGGAGGGTGGGTCGCCCAGACTTTAGACGGCTGCAGAGCGTGCCAGCCTCGCTGGCCCTTCCAGCTCCATCACTTCAATCGCAAATAAATCAAGACAGGAAGCGCCTGTCACTTACTTCTGAACTCCGAGCGAGAGTGACATTCCCAGGACGAACGTTACCTAACGGAGCGAGGCCGTAGGAAAACTGTTCAACATCCTGACACGAAGCCAGGAAGATGGAAAGCCTGTTTGCCACGGATGGCTACACGCTTCAGACACGCACCTGTCTCAGCCCGGTGTGCCTACAAGCCGGGAAGCAGACCCTTTTGCCAGCCGAGGAAGCTGCCGCGGGCCACCCGTCCTCCCTCCGTCCGTCCCCCCCTTCCCGCCTCCCCACATCAAACGCACGAGCGCCCACGCATACCGATCCGGAGGCACGCACAACTGCACTCGCACCCCGTCTCCCATACCAATACAAAACCCACGCCTCTTGCGCATATAAAATGGAGATCATCAATAGACACGCCGCCTGGTGCATACCAATGGGCAACCTCCAGAGCTCGGCTAGCCACCTTCGCAAGCTCGGGCAGGGTGAAAGGGGGCAAGGGGCGAAGGCCCTCCCGGGCTTTGCACACAGTCCTGAAACTTTGCAAATGCACACACTTTGGCACAATTGGGGAGGGGGGAGAGAGAGAGAGGCAGGGCCAGGAGACCAGCAGGAGTGCAGAGGCAAAATTAGGAATTATAAACAGAATGTCAGCCCAGAGTTAGGTTTTGGGGGGGGGGAGAAGAAGTGAGGGTGGTACACGCAAGACTTTCAGAGGGCAACAACAAGGAAGAGCTTTAAACTTAACCACAGTTGCACGGCTGTAGGAGAAGCCGTCTTCTTCCAGGGTACCCCAAAATCTGAAAGAATCTGGTTGCATCTTTCCAAAGTCTATCCAAAGACGGATGCCTTCACCCCAAAGCTTCTGTCTTTTAATAAAATGGGTTTAGCCTGGAAAGACGCAGCCCATTTTTTCCTGACCCTGGGCTGGGCAAAGTACTTGATCCTCTTCTGAAGCAGCCAGATTACCTTCCAAACAGCACCGATCCACAGTTTCCACGGGCCAGAACTTTCTCCCAGCGAACTGATCTCCCGGATCATCTTGTGGCCTCCAGATTTTCAATGAGGGGGGAGAAAGCAAGGGGGTGCCCGAAAGCAAACACACGCCTGGCAATTGCAGGCAGAGCCCACCCAAATGTCTGCAACTCTCTGAAGCCGAGGGGCTCACGGCCACGCTGCCGAGACCACCCCACTCTCCCCCCAAATGGGTCAAGGCCCCACAGCCCTGCGTTCACAGGAGCACTCCTGCTTCCAGCTGAGATCGTGCCAGGCCTGGCAAGGAGGGACTCGAACCCACGTCATCTAAAGCCAAAGGCGAGCGGCCTTTGAAGTGACCCCCTCCGCCTCCAATATGGTTGTGCAAAAGACCAGAGTAGCAATTCAAACTTACACGAGGTGAAAGCAGCCGAGTGAGTTGGGGGGGGGCTCTCTGAATTATTCCTGATGCTACCCCCAGCCAGCAGCCAGCCTGCTCTTTGGAAGGATACCTCTTTCCGTGCTCTCTCCTCCCCCCCCCCATGCATCCTCCAGCGGATTGGAAGAGCAGAAGAGGGACACAACGCACGGACTCCCCTCTGCAGGATGGCGATCGAGCTGGGCAGCCTGATTGGGGTCCGACCCTGCAGGCCTTCGCAGCTCCCAATCTCTGCCCACTTCATGCCTCTCTCCCGGACAGGAGTTCCTGCGCCAAATTCCTTACTCATTGGCACCCCCCCATGAATATTGGGGTCCAGAGGCCGCAGCCAAGGCAGAACGTGGGGTCCCTTCTAGGGCTGCAGGCCAAGCCCTCTGACCCCATGGGGATTGAGGGGGGAGAGCCCTTCCCTCCTTGAAAATGAAGCTGGGGGGGGGGGGGGGCTGGAGAACAGAAGGAAAATGTTTTGCTGCAGACAGACTTGCTTCCTCGTTTTCAACCTCTGGAACCATTCTGATGCAGGAAGCGCCCCAAACCCAATTTTCAATTGCACTTAGCAGTGCCCGGATGGAGACACACACACACACACACCCCTCTCAAAATCAGATGCAAAGCAGAACCAAATCGAACCTCGCTCACTGTGTGGAAAGCGTGCAGGATTGGACCCCCTCGTGGAATTGGGGGGCTGGTGGGTGGGTGGGATATTCCTCTTGCGGAGTTTCAAAAGCCAGCCAACCCCGTTTCACTTAAGCCTTTGGGTGACGCGGAAAGAAACGGCAGACAGAACTCATATTCAGCCCTTCCAAGGTCCTGTTTCAGCCTTGTGGGGTAAAGCCTCTAAAACACCCATTTGACAATCCTCCTGGGGGGGGCCCTTCAAAACAGACCCTTTCTCAATTCAACCGCCTGCAACCTTCTGCCCAAATTCTACAGCCAAACACAAGTTATTTCAGGATAACTTCACTGGCTGCCCAGGCTGGTAAAAAGAGGCTGAGATGGCATACCAAGTTTTGCCACCACCCCCCCCAAAAAAAGGAATTGAATGTGTGCAATTCAGTTTCAGGCTGAGGGTCTTTGGGAGGAGGGGGGGGCAGTCAACAATTGGGGATTGTCTCCCCGAAAAGAAACAAGGGTATTTCCCCAAAGCAGCACCGAGATAAACAACAGGTCCTGAAGAGACCCATTAAAGGTAGGAGAGCAAAACCGTTTCCTACCTGCTTTGAACACCGATCGCTGGGTGGGGGTGGGGGGGGGCTCAATAAAAGCGTCCACCGATTGGGTGATCTGAAGTTTTCCCTATTTCACGTCCCCTCCGGTTGTCACTGAACCGCCACCAAATAACGCACGACCAGCATGGACCCATTTCTGCCCAGCAAGGACCAGCTCAAAAACTTGAAACCGAGTCTGCAAATTGTCTTTTTTTTTTAACCTCAAAACACATTTCCCGGAGAGGCAGGGAAGGCAGTTTCAAATCGGTTTCGCCAAGGCCCATTTCTTCTTCGACCAAGCCGTGCCCCCCTCCCTCCTCCAGACAAGCAGCCCACACAGCCCCCCACCCATCCCACCCCAATTCACCCCTTGGACCTTCCAGAATGCGGACCCTCGGACGGACGGC